AGGCTAAGTGGGCTGGGGTGAAAGTGAAGCCCCAGGACTCAAACCTGAATACCTCACCCCACCCCAGCACGGAATCCCACAACGGAGATCCTCGCAACCCGATGTACCCAACCACACTTCCACTCCGCTTACGCAGCCACACTTCCGTAGTATTATTTCTACGGCGGTTACTACTCGAAAGCATGTGACGAATCCAAGACTCGAACACACTGTCAACGACTTAGTGGGCAGACACCTAACCATAAGTGGGCTGCGGTGAAAGTGAAGCCCCAGGACTCAAACCTGAATACCTCACCCCACCCCAACACAGAATCCCACAACGGAGATCCTTGCAACCCGGTGTACCCAACCACACTTCCAGTCCACTTACGCAGCCACACTTCCGTAGGCCTACGCCCCGCACGCTGACAGAGTTGCGATCATTCTTAGGCCTATCGAACTACTACCGGAAGTTTGTGAGAAACTTCTCTACCATCGCTGCACCCCTTCGCAGATTGCTGAAGAAAGAAACAATTTGGAAGTGGGATAAGGACTGCACATCTGCCATGAAGAAGTTAACGCAGGCGTTGATAGAGTATCCAGTCCTTAAGGTCGCCGATCCGTCCTTACCTTTCGTTGTTACCACTGACGCGAGCCAGTATGGCATAGGTGCTGTACTACAACAAGACGATGGCAACGACTATAGACCCGTAGAGTTCATGTCAGCTAGGATGCCTTCAGAGAAGGCAGCGACATCCACCTACAGGAGGGAACTCTACGCTCTCAGGCAAGCACTAGAACACTGGAAGCACTACTTGCTTGGGAGGCACTTCAAAGTCTATTCAGACCACGAGACGTTGAGGTGGCTGAAGACGCAGGCCAAGATGACACCTAAATTGACTAGGTGTGCCGCCGAGATAGACTAGTACGACTTTGAGCTCAAACCAGTTAAGGGCAAGTACAATGTAGTGGCGGATGCCCTAAGTAGGAGGTCAGACTACTTTGGGGCGATAGTCCATTATCTGGATATCGGGAAGGACCTGCAACAAAAAGTTAGAGAAGCGTATGCGCAGGACCCTATCTACAGTGACCTTCTTAAGAAAGTAAGGGAGGCCCCAGAGACCGAACCAGATTACCGCACTACAAAGGGGTTGTTATTCGAGAAGACTAATGTTTTTGATCGATTGTGCATTCCTAATAGTGAGGAGATCCGTAGCTTGATCCTAGGGGAATGTCACGACACTGAGGGACACTTCGGTTGGCAAAAGACCTTAGCCAATCTGATGCGTGCGTACACTTGGCCAGGGATGAAGAATGACTGCATAGAATATGTTCGCAGTTGTAAAGTGTGCCAGAGGAACAAGACCACCACGCGTGCCCCTCTAGGTCTTCTCAGACCCTTGCCTATTCCTGACCAGCCCGAAGATTCAGTGTCCATTGATTTCATGGACACCGGCGTCAAGAGTAGGCATAGTAAGAGCCAAGTCATGGTCATAGTAGATAGATTTAGCAAGTATGCAGTTTTTGTTTCGTTGCCTGCGGAGGCACGTATAGAGTTAGTAGTTCAGAAGTTCTTTGATCATTGGGTCAGTGAACACGGGATTCCGCTGTCTATAGTTAGCGATAGAGACACCCGGTTCACTAGTCAGAACTGGCAGGACTTAATGAGAGTATATGGCTCCAAGCTGTTGATGTCATCTGGCCGTCATCCAAAGACTAACGGTCAGAATGAGCAAATGAATAATCTCCTACAACAAGTTCTAAGACTGTAGACTAACTGGGATGAGATGCTCCCAAAGGTAGCCAGTGCCTACAATAACAGCGTGCACCTGTCCACATGTCGCACTCCCAACGAGTTACACAAGTCCTTTAGACCACGCAGAACGTTTGAGGGACTTAACCGGGATCAGATTCATAGGCTACCGCCTGGTACTAGGGAGTTTGCGTTACAGCATGAGAAGGAGTTAGCTACCGTTGTAGAGAGCCTCAGGAAGGCCCAGCATAGGATGATAGAGCAAGCCAATAAGCATCGTCGCCCGTCACAGTTTCAAGTAGGCGACTTAGTCTGGGTCAAGTCTAAGGAGTTTGCTCCGAGAATATCTCGCAAAAGCTATTGCCTGCGTATAGAGGACCATGACCAGTTCTAGAAGTTAAGGGCGGAGAGGATGGGCCGTCCTATACAAGAGATATTCCAGCGCACCTCCACACCTACCCTGTATTTCACGCATCAAAGTTATTGCCGTGTGTCACAAGTCAACAGTTTCCCTCTAGAAGGTCCATGATCCCTCCGGATATGGATGGAAGATACAACATTGACGGCATTGTAGGTGAAGATATATTCAGGACAGGAGGTAGAGGTCGTCCTCGGAAACATTACAAGGTTCGATTCGCATATCAGGAACCGGAAGACGACCGCTGGTTTACCAGAACTGAACTTCTAGAAACAGCTCCCGACATAGTCAGGGCCTACGAAAGAGATAGTTTAAAGGTCCTGCCTTGGACTGAGATATTCTCGGAGGACCTCGAATTTAGGCCAGCGGGAGTGAAACGGTTTTCACCTTTGCAGAGGCAGATGCAGATCCCGGGGTTTGATCCCCAGACCTTACCTCACCCATGTACAGTATCGAGTTGACCCTTGAGTGTTTGAACCCGTGACCTGTGTTTCGTGAGTTGTTGTTTGTCTGTCGTAGGACTGTGTGGACATAGGGATTCGATCTGCAGACCTGTCGAGTAGAGGTCTTAGAGAGTTCCAGAAGTCGTAGCTGTAGATGTCCTGAAGGGTCAAAGTCGTAGCTGCTACAGTCCTGAGAGGTCAAGGTCGTAGCTGCTACAGTCCCGAAAGGCCAAGTCCACAGACTTCCGGAAGGTCCGGAAGTGGCCTTTCGCAGCTTGCTCACGTTTTAGACTGAGGCAAGTGGGCAAGTGGGCAAGTGGTGGACCAACTGCAGTACGTTCACAGTACGATAGCGCTAGGTTAGCAGTGTGTCCCCATGCAGTCAGCAGTACGGTCCAGTCAGTCCCAGTCCAGTCCAGCAAGTACCATGGGGGACTGTGTGTACCATGGGCCGATGGAAAGGGGCAGACCAGCGAGTTACAGAAGTATAAATCAAGAGGCAGCGCACAGCCATTCATGCATTCCTACGGAAGCCAAGCGCTGCCACGGTGACTTGTGTGAGGTGGTCTGCAGAGGAGCCTGAAGTCGAAGTGGACTAGAGGGAGTTAGCGCAGCCATAGCTGCTTGTAGAGTAGAGTTAGCTGGCGGCCATAGCTGCCATAGTTAGTGATAGGTGTGCATTCGTGTGTGTGCAGAGTGTGTGAGTGGGGTATCCAGGGTGATCCGGAGTTGAAGTGTGAGGCGAACAGTGGTGTTGGACACAGAGACAAGAGTTGTGATGTGTGGGTGCTGATGCACCATAGCCTGTTGAAGTGAGCCAGCATCTGAACTGTGTCTTGGTTTCCATATCTTTGAGCTTTGAGTTGGGCGCTATGCGCCAGTGTGATTCACCATCTGTTTGTATGCATGTGGAGTGACGAAGTATGCGAGTCTGATTGCAGTGTGTGTGTATGTGTGTGCGCGGCGGTGTGCAACTGCATGTGCACACACACACACACACACACACACACACACACACACACACTCGCACGCAGCTATGTCTTTTTTGTTCTAGTTTTTTTTCTTTTTTTCTTTTTTGTCAAGGACCGTGGAGGTGCCTGTGCCCCTTCTGTCGCCCCCACGACCTCTGCTTGCCAACCCTCCCCTCCCCCCTCTCCGCGGCATTTTGAGGTAGCCGCAAACACGTTCACTGCGTTTGCACGCGCTCATTGAACGCGAGTTCAATGCGTTCAAATCTTGAACGCGAAACCCACATTCAATGAACGCGCGGTTACACAGGTGGGCACTCACGCCACCACTATCTTCTATGTAGCTGACCCCATTAAGAGCCCGGACTTGGTGCATCTGACCACAATTCCTTCCAGAAAAAAGAGAAAAAGTCCTTATGCGAATATGCCGTAAGAAGATGATTTTGAATGGGCAACCTGACTTCGATGTATTGGAACACAATTGCATCCAGAATCTCTCTCTCTCTCTCTCTCTCTCTCTCTCTCTCTCTCTCTCTCTCTCTCTCTCTCTCTCTCTCTCTCTCTCTTATGTGCACAGCGCTGTGTGGAGCTTGTGCCTCTGCTGTTCTGGGCAGCTCTCGGCTGATTGCACCCAGAGTGTGAGTGTGCCCCAATACCCCAAGTGAATGGCTCGTCCGAGTTCGTTGCTGGGGCGTTTCGCCACATGGCCTTTTTTTTTCTTGCTCGCATTTGGACCTTTTTTTTTTTTTTTTTTTTGACGAGCATGAATCTTCTGCTAGAGCATGATAAGATACACCGCCATATTTTCTGTGTTTTGTTGCATTGCATGTAAAAAAAAGTGTGTGAATCAGCGCCTCGCTGCACCACTCAACAATTGTCCAAAATGAGAATGAATACTCTAGTTTTTCTGTAGTGAGGAAGGCTTTGGGAAGTTTGGGCCCAGTCGCATGATTCTGTGATAAGTCAACAAAATGCATTGGATACAATGGATAGTACTATCATAATATATATGCTTTTTTTTTGCTTTGTTTTTTTTGCATTGGATATGATTAGACAATACAAGTATCTGACCACAAGAACGGTTTAATTTGTGCAAACTTCCGATATAACAGCGGCCGTAGGGCAATTCCGGGGAGGGGGGGGGGGGGGGGGGGGGGGCGCGGTTGATTCACTCACCAAATAAAAATAGGCTTGCCAGTGGTCCTGTTCAGCAGCTTTCATCAACCATGTCATGGCATTATCCCAGTAGTCCACTACATCGCATTCCTTGTTATTGCATCTTGACTTGTAATAATAGTACTTGCCGAGCTCGACTTGGGCGTCTGCATTTCCCTTGGAGGCAGCCATGGAAATCAGCTTAAGTCCAAATGTTTCATTTTGTTGGACTCCCATACCCTCCAAGTAACATCGTCCCAGATCTGTTCTTGCTGGAAGAAGGTTGCCATCGTCTTGTTCCTGTATCTGCTGCCACAAGTCTTCGCAAGTGAAAAAATCCTCGTTGATACCCGACGCCTTCTTCAACCACTTCCAAGCCTCCGTGTCGCTCCATGGGCAGCCTGTCCCTGTGAGGGAGCACAATGCCAAGAGATGCTGTGCGCGCTTGTGCCCCTCATTTGCCGCCCTTTGAAACCACTTTGCGGCCTCCTCGATGTTTAATTCAATGCCCCGTCCGCAGAAGAACCTGTCCCCCAGCTCGAACATATGCGTTGGCGATCCTTGCTCCGCCGCCTCTTTGCACCACGCAACGGCGTCCGGCTCGTCATCCTTTGGCATGCCAATTCCTGACATGAAGCAGGACAGCAACATGTCTCGACAATCTTTATCGTACTGATCTTTGCCAAGCCGGAATTGACGAAGCGCCTCCGTTTCATCCCTCTGGACCCCTATTCCGCTGAGGTAGCACTTACCCAAGTAAAACTGAGCCCTGGGATATCCCTGTTCAGCTGCTCTCAGAAACCACTCTGCAGCCAACTCCAAGTTTTCCCCTACCCCTTCGGCATTCAAGTAACATAAGCCAAGCTGCAATTGAGCATACCGATCCCCGCCTTCGGCAGCTTTTTTGAACCAGTAAAATGCTTTTCGAAGGTCCTGCGCTCTCTCGCGCCCTTCCTTGTATTCAAGCCCCAACTTATACTGCTTATGTGGAGGCAGCCTCTCATGCTTCTCATCCGTGCTACCTCTTCGTAAGAAGTTTCGCATTATTGTCTCCCTTTATTGAATGTTTACTGATTTAGCCTTGCCTTTTCACTACCAGGAGGCGGCTTCTCTTGGCTTGGCGATTGTTGCAACACCTTGCTGTCGCGCTGATTCTCTATCACAATCCTATTTTTTGTTTTGGGTCTGTTTCACAATTTTCTCCAACCCTGAGCCAACCTGTGTGTGTCGAAGACAAAAAGGAGACCTGAGTTTGTCAGGCAACCATTGGCTTAACCTTTCTTTCTTTTTTTTTTTTAATAACTTGGACCATTTCTCAATTACTGCTTGTCATCCTTAAATGCGCACTGGCCATGCTAATCTTCTGTGTAGACTTCAAATGGATGTCCCCAAAGGACAACATTGACTTAACCTGAGCATGCTGATAAAGGGTTGGCCTCCACGGCGAATGCCTGTGACAGTATTGGGCAGGGAGGAGCGTGGTCCACAGGCAAAGCCAGATTCATGCCAGTAGGGATTGGCTTCCTATGATAATATCTGGCAGGGAGGAACCTGGTCTGTAGCGAAAGCCAGATTCTTGCAAGTACAACTCAGTCACAGTGCCTGGCAGTGACAGCCATCGCAATTGCTGATCAATCGTCCCCCCCCCCCTCTCTTTTCTTTACTTTTTCTCCCCTTTTTTTTTCGGAGACCAATTGTCAGTCAAGTGAAAAAGCGCCCCCCCCCTCAAAAAAAAAGCGCCCAAATCCACCCACAATCACTGTCCCACTGGAAAGCTACCGTAGGGCGCACCCAGACTAGGACTTCCTTTCATGTATCTGGTCCAGATTACAGCCAGAATCAGTCCAGAACGTACTCGTGTGAGTATGGCCTTAGCTCTCCTAGTGTAACGTGACACACCATTGGCTATACTCAGAACATGCTAGGACCAGAAGATGTTTATACTACTTGGAAAGTTTTGAAAAATACCCTTTCTTAGCAGAAAATGGCACCAGTGAGACGGGACCCTTCTTCTAAAACCACCCACCAGTGCATCCTCGTGATCCCCCGGTTAACTAGGGGACCTCGCCTTGGATGAATAATGACTTTAACCAGGGCCTCGGATCAAATTCATTCATGATGGAACAAGAAGTCCAAAAAACTGCCAGAGGTCTGCAGAAGCGTGTCGCATACTGGTGGTTTCAGAGGCAGGTCCTGTTTCTTTTCCTTGCTAAAGGCATCGACTTTAGCATTATTATTTTCCATCCCCCTTTCCAGCAGCAGGAGTCGAACTCATGATCTGTTTACTAACAGTTACATGTGTGTACCGTTCAGCCACATCGGTCTGGTGATGCTTCCCTACAATCTGAGAGATGTTGCTTGGCTGCAATCTGGGAACCGATACTTGCCTGCAATCCTACTACTAGTGCTGCAATCATTCTCACTTTCATTCACACTTCACATGCATGCAAACAGGTCGAGCAGCAAACTGGCGTCAAGCGTCCACTCTGAACTCAGAGATATAGTAACCAAGAGCGCAGCTCAGATACAAGTTCACTTCAAATGGCTATGGCGCACTTCAAATGGCTATGGCGCATCAGCGCCTGTACAACTCCCTGTTCGTCACTTGCTCAACACTACTGTTCGCACACAGGATCACCCTGGACATCCCACACGCAACAAACTGTACACTCGCACACTCACATATGCCACTCTCTTTCCTATCAGCTATGGCGGCTATGGCCGCTGCTACCCTATCGCTATGGCTAAGCTTCCTTCTCGCCCACTTCGTCTTCGGGCCTACTGCAGACCACCTCGCACAAGTCGCTGTGGCAGCGCTTCCGCATGGCTTAGGCAGGAATGAATGAATGGCTGGGCGCTGCCTCTTGATTTATACTTCCGTAACTCGTTGGTCTGCCTCTTTCCATCGGCCCATGGTGCACACAGTCCCTGATGGTACTTGCTGGACTGGACTGGCACTGACTGGACCAGTACCGCTGACTGCATGAGTTTGCACTGCCAACTCGATGCAGTCGCACTGCCGACGTAACGCAGTTGGGCTCACCACTCGCCCACTTGCCTCTGACTAAAACGTGAGACCGCTTTGAAAGGCCAATTCCGGAACTTTCGGAAGGTTCTGGACTTGGCCTTTCGGGTACCGTAGCAGCTACGACCTTGACCTTTCAGGACTGTAGCAGCTACGACCTTGACCTTTCAGAATACCTACAGCTATGACCTCTACAGAGCTGTGACCCCTACTCGACAGACCTACAGATCGAATCCCTACATCTACACAGTCCTATGACAGACAAACAACAACTACCGAAACACAGGTCACGGTGTCAAACACTCAGGGGTCAACTCGATACTGTACATGGGTAAGGTAAGGTCTGGGGATCGAACCCTGGGATCTGCATCTGCCTCTGCAAAGGTGAAAACCGTTTCAAGTGCCATCAATCACAACTTAAAACTCCACAACTGCCCCTAGATGTCTGCATTTCCAGGTACATATCATGTCCAAGTGCATTTTGACAGTAGCATTCATGGAATTGACGTAACATAGATTCATGGCCGGGCAAGATTCCACTAACCCCAGATAGACGAACAAACTGCTGAAAATGCTTTGAACTGGTTGAGCAGCAAAATCCATTCACAGTGTCTGAGTCCATTACTGCCATTTCATTCTCAGAGCCACAATCAGCAGCAAATGTGACCTGAACCCGCCGACTCGCCCTGCCACCCCCCTCCCCAGTCCAGGTCAGCCCAGCCTGCCTGGTTGAAAGGTGGAAGTTCGGCCGTCACCGGTACCCTTGCCCAACAAGTGGACCAAAGTACTAGTTCGGTCCAGTGGAAAGAACACAAGGGACCGGTCCGACCGATGCCCCTCCCTCATTGAATGCCAGCTACTGCCGCCATCTCCCTCCCCCCAAGTCTATTTCCCCCTCCCTTCTCCTCCCCTGTTCCTCCTCATCACCATTGTCATCCTCCTCGTCACCGTCCTCATCCTCCTCCTCACTCCCCTCCTACCCCTTCTCCTCATCCTATTCTTGTTGCCTCCACATGCGCATCTGGACACATTCACATGTGCCTGCATCCGCCTATGGGCGCGGATTCATGAGCAGACATTCATGCGTCCACACATGTCAACACATCTTATGGACGCAAAAGGCATGTGAACGTGTCCACATACCCTCCTCCTCTTCATTATCCTCCTCCTTCACGCCCCCCTCCCCCCCCTCTTCCTCAAACAAGATCACCACAGGAGACTTGAAAGCTAGGCCAAAGGATAAATCTTCTCATGACCTATAAGATGTCTTGCTGTAAAAATAGTAGGAGAACTGCCCGGTGTTGCCTAAACGATGGTACTGTTACCCATCTTAACCCCGCAACACCTTAGCCCCCATTGCGGTTGAGCATCAACCACTGCCCCACAACTGATACACAGGTGGGCATCAGCAACCACTTCCCTCAGGGATACCTGTGTAGCAAAATTCAAAGCAGACTATTACTCACCCACACAGATGGAAGACTGTACAGACTGCAGGTTCACACCCCATCATAAGCCCCACAAAACAGAGAAAGGACCGTCAATGGCACAGCACGGCCACAAAGCCAAGGCCCCGACCACTGGCGTTAAATTGTCACATATCTATCAGCTAAAAGAGTGCAGTTTGCGAAACAAACAATAAAACACAAAATACAACCATGACGAGCACACTGAAACCATTCTTTTGATCATTTCTTCTTTTAGATCCCCCTTTACTGTGCCTCTCTCACTACAAGGCCTGCCATGTGGATGAGTTGAGCGTGAGCTGCCCGCGTCCCCATGTGCCATAACGGCCCACTTGTACGCTTTGAGAAAGAGGCAGAGTAGACACAGAGAAAAGATGGAAAGAAGACAAAGCAACGAACGACCACAGAAAAGAAAAGTAAGGAGAGCAGAATGAAGGTGAAATCATAGGAGAAGATAAGAGAAGGCTCAAGAGTCAGTGTTCCCTTGACGACAGAGAGGACATACATTGCAAGGATGAGATGGCCGAGGACATGGAAGACCTACCTCAGCATTCACTAGGACAATTGCCGCGACGGCTGGCATTGAACGCGCCCACCAAACACTCCCAAAAAATGGCATGTCAATTGCAGGCCAACATGAAAGAAGAACGGGCACCACAAAAGACCATGCACTCAGTATAACGCCCGTGGCCGCAAAACGGACATACAGTGTCTGGATGCAGAGGGTGCCTGCAGTTAGGAAAGGAGGGACCCGCTATACCCTCAGGGAGTCAAGGGTACCCACGACGACCAAAGCAGGCTGCCACTCATACACACCAGACAGAGAACTCTACAGACTGCAGGGTCGCACCACATCATAAGGCAGCAAAACCCTCACAAAACCAGACAGATCTGTTGCAGCCAGAAAATACACTCCAGACACGCCGCTGGCACTACAGGCACAGCACGGCCACGTAGTGACGGCCCCGGCCGCTGCCGACTGGAGAAAATCATAGCAGGGAGCTAGCGAAGTTGTAATACATAATGTCATAGAGAACTACCCGGTGAACCATAGGCAAGGAGTGTGGTTGTGCATATGGTCTATAGAGGTCCCTATTCCTTATGAGACTCCCACCCAACCTACCACTTTTATTATTTCTCCCTGGCGCACCCCTACCCCCACAATCCTACCTCAGCATCTACCACTCAGGATGATCGCTCTCCGTACGGGCCACTCAAGTGATTTCCAAAGTACTCACTCACACTGGCCGGACATGGCGGTGGCCTGTCGAACGGCAATGATGCGTGCAACAATATAGAGGGAGAGGCAATGGAACAACTTGGTCCTCAGGAACCAATGACAGTCAGACTTTCAGTTAAAACAGCAGTTCAGCTGACGCTAAGTTGGCCTCTTACCAGTGTACGCGGTTAGAGCAACCACCTTTTACCGGTGTTCACGGTAAGTTCCGCCCGCATGCCGAGACCATACCTCTTACCGCGGTAAGAGCATACCACTTCGGGCCTGGCCCCCAGTACAGCATACCCCTTCGGGTCTGGGCCAGTAATGTCCTGTGGTTGGGAGCCTATTTGTACAAGCTACCTTCTGAGGCATGGGAGCCGCCAACTGGGCCGTTT